GTGTAGTATTGATATTGCTGTGTGTGTGATACTAAGTACATTTAGTTTTCTGAAAACGGAACAGTGTAGGCTATAACAGAGTTCTTTCTGCATGTTGTCTCCTAAATTCTATTACTATTTGCACTCAGTGTTTTTATGTATCTTCAACTACTTTATATTTTATAAGGCAAACATAAGTTATGTTTTCATTTGAAATGATTAAATAAGATAATTTTCAAATAGAGGAATGTTATAAAACTTTATTCAGATTAATAAGTGGGCAGTGTTTAAAACCAATAGAACTGGCCAAGATCATAGGAATGACTGTCCCTTCATTGTCATAGCAACAGTGCCCTAAATATAAATCTCAGTGTTAGGCATCCCTGACTGAAATGAAAAAAATCACTATGAGACTTGTAATTGGAAAATTAGATGGTATAATCTGACATACTCCCTTTTAAAATAACTCCCTTCGAAATGAAATGCATGGAAAGTGGTAAAATCACCAAGTCCTTCCAAACTTAAATTATTCCCTGATTCTAAATTACTGTCTGGAAGAAAATCAAGGAACTCTAAGGCCTCACGTTTGCTCTGCCACAGATTCTGGTGGTAAGAGCTTTCCTTGGCACTTGAATGTTACTCATCTAGGTTTATCATATTTAAAAGCAAAGGTTTAGGCTTTAGGTTACCATTAGAAAAAAGCATCAGAATTCATGTCGCACAGGCTGGTGAGTCAACTCCAGTCTGTGCTCAAGGGCTTTAGTTGTGGATCACAGCTCCCCAACAGTGCCTCAGTCCTCCCTGCCAGGTTTAGCATCATCTGTTTTCATCTGTGCTTCTGAGCTTCTGTCACCACCCATGACAACACCTCGGTGATCAGAAGAACCTGCTGATAGTTATAGTCTCTAAGTGAATCTCTGTTCTGAGAAGTAAATTACTTAATTAAATTAGCTTTCCTGCTGGTAAGAAGTTAGCCAACCCAGGTTTAGGACCTGTGTTCTACCTCTTTAAGTTTCTTAACGTATAGGCTTGGTATTTGCTTAACTTAGAAAAAAAATCTCTTTCGGTTACCATTATGTACCCAAGAGAACAAGAGAACTCATAAAGTTTGTGGAGAATGCTTCTGGTTAACAAGTATTACTTTCAGTGTTTTGTTAGTATTGTTAGTATTAAAGTACCTTTGAATTTTATGTTTGTAATTAGACAAATACAACTATTTAGCATAAATTTGGAGCCTTTACACTCATGCTTGTACCTTTGGGTCATGCTTTCTGCAGGCCCTTCTCTGGTTGGGATTTTTTTTTTTTTTGGTCTTTTTGAGACCGGGTCTCCCTGTAGCCCCAGCTGGCCTGGAACTCACTAAGTAGACCAGGCT